TGCCTAATCTATCTATCTATCTATCTATCTATCTATCTGCCTATCTGTCTACCTATCTATCTATCTAGCTATCTATCTATCTATCTATCTATCTATCTATCTATCTATCTATTTCTCTATCTATCTATCTATCTATCTATCTACCTACCTATCCATCTATCTATCTATCTATCTATCTATCTATCTATCCGTCTACCTATCTATCTATCAATCTATCTATCAATGTATCTATTGATCTATCTTTTGATCTATCTTCTGATGTATCTATTGATCTATCTATCTATCTATCTATCTATCTATCGATCTATCTATCTATCTATCCATCCATGTATCTGTCTATCTCCAGATCTACGTGTCTGTCTATCTATCTGCCTGTCTCTCTATCTACCGATGTATCTATCTATATCGATCTATCCCCAACAATATATGTGTATATATATACATATATATATATATATATATATATTTTGTGTCTACTAAAGGGTTCTGAAAACAAAAACATATCCGATTGTTTAAGCCTCCAGCCATAAACAGTGGAATCCCGGCTGCCCAGGTATCATCTGATATGGGTGGATCTGGAGAGTGCGAAGGCAGTGGTAAGTAGCGGTAGTCTAAGACCTCTTGTAGGTCGGTCTTAGGGCTGAGGGCTTTGGGTTACTGTAGGGTTCAGAGATTAGAGTTCAGTGTTCAATTTGTGTTCAGAGTTACCTATGGATCGCCAAACCTACTGTTTTTGGTGTTGCAACGCATGATTTTGGGGTATTCAAGTTTTATCTTTCAGGGGTGAGTGTCCCGGACTTTAATTTAATAATTTAGCTTACTTTCACCGCACTCTGCGGAAGAGCCCCCTACGATTGAAAAAAGCCCCTTCTTTCGACACGCCGAGTTTGAAGATGACAGACCTGAAGCCGAAACCAATGAATGCTTCGTAACCCCAACCCTACCCACGAAACCGCAAAGCATGCAAAAGCCCAATTTCCACACCGCAAAGCCCCGCTACCTGCTAAGCCATGCCAGGACTTTTCCAAGCGGGAACGACACCAAGGGACGGAGCCTGCAGATGTTCGAGAAAGACACTTCGCGCTGAGGGTTCAGGGGGGTCCTATGAAATTTCATGGGTCGTTTAGGGTCGGCACTGGTGGCTGCTTTCCGAAAGAATTCGAATCCCGAAAAGCGGGATCGTACTGATATGGGCCAACATAGTGCTTTTGTCAAAAGTTCCATGGCTTCATTCCGTTCAAGTCTCCAAAGAGTGGTATGTTGGAGAACCTTCAATGTGATATAGAAGCTAAAATGATTACCTTGAAAAGAGCCCAAAACCGTATTCTAATTATTACGGCCCCTACCTTAGCTCTTCTTAGGGTTTTGGCTTGAGCATGGCCTGGAGACATGGTGAGATAAGATGGATTGTGGCATGAGGTTTTGACAAAAAGCTGTAATATGGGGCCTTAATTATTAGACTAGGGTTTGGGGGGTATCTTATACTATAAGTATGATAAGGAACCCTCCCAAAACCCCGCCCACCTTGTGCCTAAACCCTAAACCCTAAACCTTGAATGTTCAATAGCTTTCATACAATCGCAGCCTTATAAGGACCGATGGAGTGTTTGTAATGCAGTGTAGGTCTTGGATTAATACCCCCTGCCTTGCCAAATGTCATACATATTGGGGTTTACTACCCAGAGACTCCAAAACCCCTTAATTAAGGAATATACCTTAAACTATAATTAATCGGAACCCTAATGAGATTTATGGCATTTTGCTTAATTAAGGGGTTTTGGAGTCTCTGGGCAGTTTATTCAGCAGGGGTTTCCGTTGAGGCGCTTGACGATACTGCACAAGTGAAGTGTCAAGCTTTGTTGTTTGGCCTCGCTCCCAGAGTGTATCAGAATCAGAAGCCCAAATTAACTTCCCGCTCCGTCTGTGTAGCCTTGCAAACCTAAACCTCAACGTTCTTGCCTATCGTACCTTGCCCTTGCAGTTGTACCGTCGTGCAAAGGACTGAGAAGGACCTCCAGTCCACCGTTTCCTCAAACATCCTTAAGCCCTAAGCCCTAAACATCCTTAAACCCTCAACCCTAAACATCCTTCAACCCTAAATCTGAACACCCTTTAAAACCCTAAACCTTAAACCCTAAACCCTACCTGAAACCCTAAACATATATCCTCGAGCCTCTTCCTTGTTTTTGGCGGCTCGACAGGGCAAGCTCTAGTCTGCAATCATGGCGCCGAAAGGGAAGGGGGATGCCAAGAAGGCCGAAAAGGCCTAGCAGCATGCTTTGCTGCATTGTTGCTCTGAGGGTCAGAATAGATCTCGAGTATTTACAGCAAGATCAGAAGTAGTGACGAAGCATGAACGCTGTATGATAAATAAACGAATATACATTGCATATGTGTGCATCTACATATACATGCATAGTTACACATCTTCAAGCACATGCATGTATCTATGTCTATATATATATATATGTATACATATACATATACACATACACATACACATACACATGTACATATATATATACATAAAAATGTACACATACACATGTACATAAACGTATACCTATACATAATAGACATATACGTATACATATGCATATACATATACATATACATATACATGTATGTATGTGTGTGTATGTATGTATGTATGTATGCATGCATGCATGCATGCATGAATGCATGGATGTATGTATGTATGTATGTATGTATGTATTTATGTATTTATGTATATATGTATGTATGTATGTATGTATGTATGTATGTGTATGTATGTATGTATGTATGTACGTATGTATGTATGTATGTATGTACGTATGTGTGTATGTATGTAATGTATGTAATGTATGTAAGTAAGTATGTATGTATGGCCATATGTATGTATGTATGTATGTA